GTCAGTATGAAAATGGCACTAAAATTTTGAGTGTGTTATGTCTTTGTATAAAATTTCAGATATTTATGTAAAACTATTGTAGATCAGTAAGTATAGAAAATAGCATTAAAATTTTGAGTCTGTTATGTCTTTGTATAAAATTTCAGATATTTATGTAAAACTATTGTAGATCAGTAAGTATAGAAAATAGCATTAAAATTTTGAGTCTGTTATGTCTTTGTATAAAATTTCAGATATTTATGTAAAACTATTGTAGATCAGTAAGTATAGAAAATAGCATTAAAATTTTGAGTGTGTTATGTCTTTGTATAAAATTTCCGATAATTTATGAAAATAGCATTAAAAGTCTATTTATTGTATAAAATTTTTCGATATTTATGTAAAAAGTAAGTATAGAAAATAGCATTAAAATTTTGAGTCTGTTATGTCTTTGTATAAAATTTCAGATATTTATGTAAAACTATTGTAGATCAGTAAGTATAGAAAATAGCATTAAAATTTTGAGTGTGTTATGTCTTTGTATAAAAAATTTCAGATATTTATGTAAAACATTGTAGATCATTAAGTATAGAAAATAGCATTAAAATTTTGAGTCTGTTATGTCTTTGTATAAAATTTCAGATATTTATGTAAAACTATTGTAGATCAGTAAGTATAGAAAATAGCATTAAAATTTTTGAGTCTGTTATGTCTTTGTATAAAATTTTTCGATATTTATGTAAAATATTTATGTAAGAAAAACTATTAAAATTTAGATCATGTAAGTATAGAAATAGCATTAAAATTTTGAGTCTGTTATGTCTTTGTATAAAATTTCAGATATTTATGTAAAACTATTGTAGATCAGTAAGTATAGAAAATAGCATTAAAATTTTTGAGTCTGTTATGTCTTTGTATAAAATTTTCGATATTTATGTAAAACTATTGTAGATCAGTAAGTATAGAAAATAGCATTAAAATTTTGAGTCTATTTATGTCTTTGTATAAAATTTTCGATATTTATGTAAAACTATTGTAGATCAGTAAGTATAGAAAATAGCATTAAAATTTTGAGTCTGTTATGTCTTTGTATAAAATTTTCAGATATTTATTGTAGAAAACTAGAAAATTAAAATTTTAGATCTTTGTATAAAATTTTTCGATAAGTAAAACTATTGTAGATATAAGTATAGAAAATAGCATTAAAATTTTGAGTGTGTTATGTCTTTTGTATAAAATTTTCAGATATTTATGTAAAACTATTGTAGATCAGTAAGTATAGAAAATAGCATTAAAATTTTGAGTCTGTTATGTCTTTGTATAAAATTTTCGATATTTATGTAAAACTATTGTAGATCAGTAAGTATAGAAAATAGCATTAAAATTTTGAGTCTGTTATGTCTTTGTATAAAATTTTCGATATTTATGTAAAACTATTGTAGATCAGTAAGTATAGAAAATAGCATTAAAATTTTGAGTCTGTTATGTCTTTGTATAAAATTTTCGATATTTATGTAAAACTATTGTAGATCAGTATAGAAAATAGCATTAAAATTTTGAGTCTGTTATGTCTTTGTATAAAATTTTCGATATTTATGTAAAAACTATTGTAGATCAGTAAGTATAGAAAATAGCATTAAAATTTTGAGTCTGTTATGTCTTTGTATAAAATTTTCGATATTTATGTAAAACTATTGTAGATCAGTAAGTATAGAAAATAGCATTAAAATTTTGAGTGTGTTATGTCTTTGTATAAAATTTCAGATATTTATGTAAAACTATTGTAGATCAGTAAGTATAGAAAATAGCATTAAAATTTTGAGTCTGTTATGTCTTTGTATAAAATTTTCGATATTTATGTAAAACTATTGTAGATCAGTAAGTATAGAAAATAGCATTAAAATTTTGAGTCTGTTATGTCTTTGTATAAAATTTTCGATATTTATGTAAAACTATTGTAGATCAGTAAGTATAGAAAATAGCATTAAAATTTTTTGAGTCTGTTATGTCTTTGTATAAAATTTTCGATATTTATGTAAAACTATTGTAGATCAGTAAGTATAGAAAATAGCATTAAAATTTTGAGTGTGTTATGTCTTTGTATAAAATTTCAGATATTTATGTAAAACTATTGTAGATCAGTAAGTATAGAAAATAGCATTAAAATTTTGAGTCTGTTATGTCTTTGTATAAAATTTTCGATATTTATGTAAAACTATTGTAGATCAGTAAGTATAGAAAATAGCATTAAAATTTTGAGTCTGTTATGTCTTTGTATAAAATTTTCGATATTTATGTAAAACTATTGTAGATCAGTAAGTATAGAAAATAGCATTAAAATTTTGAGTCTGTTATGTCTTTAAAATTTTAAAATTTATGTAAAATATTTTATGTATAGAAAAAGCATTAAAATTTTTGTAGAGATATTTATATAAAACTATTGTAAGTATAGAAAATAGCATTAAAATTTTGAGTCTGTTATGTCTTTGTATAAAATTTCAGATATTTATGTAAAACTATTGTAGATCAGTAAGTATAGAAAATAGCATTAAAATTTTGAGTCAGTTATGTCTTTGTATAAAATTTTCGATATTTATGTAAAACTATTGTAGATCAGTAAGTATAGAAAATAGCATTAAAATTTTGAGTCTGTTATGTCTTTTGTATAAAATTTCGATATTTATGTAAAACTATTGTAGATCAGTAAGTATAGAAAATAGCATTAAAATTTTGAGTGTGTTATGTCTTTGTATAAAATTTTCGATATTTATGTAAAACTATTGTAGATCAGTAAGTATAGAAAATAGCATTAAAATTTTGAGTCTGTTATGTCTTTGTATAAAATTTTCGATATTTATGTAAAACTATTGTAGATCAGTAAGTATAGAAAATAGCATTAAAATTTTGAGTCTGTTATGTCTCTGTATAAAATTTCCGATATTTATGTAAAACTATTGTAGATCAGTAAGTATAGAAAATAGCACTAAAATCTCAAGCATATTATGGCTAAAATTTGAGATATTTATAACCATGAAGCCTTTCTCAGATTCAATTAGAAACCTCAGAAAAGTTCCTGAAATACTTCAAAGCAATTTGCACAAGATCCAAATCTAAGTTATCTGGTACTGGGATCAGTGCCCTGTTATTTATTTGTAAATCAATATAAATTATATTTATTATGCACAGTAAACATTTTGTATTCGACATTGTTTTACTGCAAAAATGAAATTTGAATGAATAAGCTTTCTTAGGTCTTTGTTGTATTCATCAAAAAACTCTGATTATCAAATGTAACATATACATGAAGAAGGTTAGCAAGCACTTTTGTTGAAACACAGTAATCAAAACTATAAGAATGAAAATTCTTGTTCAAATATGCTGAATAATAGGAGGGAATTTTAAAATTTCAGACAACAATAAATAGAATATTCAAAACTTCAATGTTTTCTTTAAATCCCTATTTATCTACAGTTACCAAAAGATTCACATTAAAATTTTTGGAAATAATCAGACATTTTTTAAATTCTTAGAGCCCAGTCAAAAGGATATAAGCTGACACCTCTGAGCTAGAAGGAGGAAAACAGCCGGAGAGGATGGACCCAAACACGGCCATGTGTGATGCTTGAAGAATTAGTTAAAAGTTAATGATATTTCTGCCCTGCTTAGTGCCAAGAAAAACACAGTAGATTGACACTGACCTATTTCTAATATTACTACTACCACTAGTAAGGTTTGACTTCAAAACTACCACATCTGAACTTTCACCAAGCTACTATCAATATCCACTTTATAAATAAACATTTGACACTGAATATCAAAGGACTCACTTAATACTCCAAATATAAAAAATATAGTATATGTGCATATACCCACTCTTGCTCAACTTTATTATATCTCTTATGTCTTTGATATAATAAAACACCAAGAAGAACCACTCAGGCCTAACTTATTATATATCCATGCAGTGTTAGTAACAGATAAACACAACTTGCTATTTGGTATTTGATAGCCTTCACTGTATTTTAGTGCAGAAAAGAGAGAGGTGAGATAAAGACACAGTTTCCTTGGGTCAGTTTATCTGTCTCAAACAAATTTTCAAAATTGCTATGAATACAAAGCATTAATGGTAATGATGAAATTGGCCGTTTCCATACAGGAATCATTTGGTATTCATTAACTGAATATTTAAAATTACTATCCACTGAATATTATTGATCTTTCAAGTATTGCTTCCTTCCAAAGCTTCTGTTTAATATTACATCTTACAGCTTTGGTCAATAGTACCTTTAACACAACATGTCCTGTGCTCAATTTCCATATCTCCTATGAGTACAAGGACAACATTATGAAGCAGGTAATGGCAATTCTGAAATAGGACCTTGCAGAATGTTTTGATAAATAGGAAAAGATTTCAGGATAAGTCTATGAAATTTTTAGGGAATATATTGAAAGAGATTCATCTGTCACAGACCTCAGCAGACTAGTTTTCTTTAATATGAAATACATGGATAAATTCCAGATAAATATTATAGACTAAAATTTTAGATAAAGCAGTAAGAACCATTGTCAAACTTTGGTCAAAACTTTTATAGAGGAATAAAACAGGTAGTTGTGGAGAGCCATGATTGTCAAATCATGAATCAGTATCACCCTAACAGCTGAAGTAAGAGAGTCAAGAAAAGAACAAGATAGAATCAGAAAATGTTTCAGTTTTGCTTTCCTGACAAGTTTTAATTGATTGAGTGATTGATTCATTTTCTATAGTTTATCAACGCTTTGCAGGCTATTTAAAGCCAGAAAATATTTTTAGACCCTAAGAATTTGTTTTTGTTGTGGTAATAATGTTTTAGTGATAAAAGTCTTACTAATTAACCCATAGCTGAGGGGAGAATAGTTGCATTCATACTATTCCCAAAGTTATTTGCATGTAAGTGAATATAATGAACCCAATGGGAACAAGAACTTGGCAGTCCAGTTAACAATTCTGAGCCATTAACTATAATATCACCTGCACATCCATGCTTACAGCACCTGGTATTCCCAAGTGGTCACCCATCTAGGTAATGAGCAGGTTTGACATTGCTTAACTTGGGTGATCTTACAGGAACCAGTGTTTCAACGTGATGTGGACATAAGCCTGACAATTTTAAAGAGAGACAGCCAAAAATGTTAACTTTGAAATTAAAGATATCAGAATCAAGCAAATACAGAAATTCATCTATCTCTGTAGAGTTGTAACAGATTACCAAAAAAAAAAATGACACAAAAATCCAAAGTGTATTAGATTAGTAAATAATACCTTCCAGAAACTAAGCAGATTAAAGAAAAATTTTGTGACAAAGAAAAGAGTGTTGAATAGTTATGTTATATCTAACCTCCTATATCAATCACAGTGAATGATTGACAGTTTCTGTAAAGTAAAGAAGAAACTTCAAGTAAAAAAGATGTAGTGCTACAGAAGGATGATAAGAATGCCATGGACTAGGCATGTGAGCAACAAGTAAGTTTTCAGAAAGAAGGGAACTAGTAAGCCACTTGTTTATGCTTGGCAGACAGACTCATGAATGTCTTTGATAGCCTGACTGAAAAAATATCATTTTAATTGTTCCTTAAATATATATATATACCCCTGCTTTGTAGAACTGACTATCAAGAGGCTGCTTTCCTGATCACTACAATCTTAACCTGTTCAAGTTTAGGGTTAACCATTATCGTCCCCTCATACCCACATAATCTATACCTCTTACTCTCTAACCCTCTGCCTCGAGTGGCTCTCGTGGTTAGAGTAAACATCATTGTAAAAAAATATTTTAACTGGTAATGAAAAATGGGTTCCATATGACAATGTTCCATGAAAAAGACATTGGATTGACAAAGATAAGTCTCCACAACCAACCACAAAAGCTAAGCTCTGGAGTAGAAATGTGTATGTAGTGGGATTGTTGTGATATTATTGATTTAGAGTTCTATAATGTAATGAAATCCTTAATGCCCATTTATATATCCAGTAGCTGCAACATGTTCAAAAAAGGTTTGGTCTAAAAGTACCTTGAAATAGAAAAAAATGTTTTTCACCTCCATGAAAATGCTAGGCTGCAGACAGTGTTCATTAAAGAGTTCTTCTTTTTCACATCAAAGTCTGTGGAATTTTATTCAGAAGATATCCAGGAGTCACCTGTTAAATGGCAGCATGCCATTGTAAATAATGGTGAATATATAACAGAATAAAATGTAACCACAGAGATCCTTCCCTGCCTTCCATTAGAATGTCTGATGCTCAACTTCTCGAGGGCACCTCTCTGCGGCTGCTCGGTCTCACATTGACTGCTGACCTGAGAAGGAACAAATACATTGAGTCAATTGCTTCGTCCACCGCAAGTAAAGTTGACTCCCTGTGCCACGCCAGGAAATTTTTCTCCCCAGAATCGATCCTCCAGATCTACAAATCAACAATTCGCCCTTGCATGGAGTATTGCTGCCATATATGGTCTGGAGCACCTTCTGTTTGCCTCGGAGTTCTTGATAGGCTCCAGAGGTGGATATGCAATATAATTGGCCCTGCTCTGGCATCTCGTCTACAGTCACTTTCTCACAGATGCCTCTCTCTGTCTGTTTTACAAATACTTTCAAGGCAATTGCTCTGAGGAGCTGCATTCGCTGGTTCCCAGACTTCATTAATTCAAGCACCCTACGAGGCTGGCACCCTGCTCTCACCCTTTCACTGTTGAAACTCCTAAATGTAGCCATCTCTTCTACTCCAATGGCTTCATATCTCGCACCTCTCGCTTGGGGAACTCCCTTCCCTATTCCAGTTTCCCTGAGAGCTATAATCTCCAGCTATTCAAATGTAATGTCAATTGACATCTCCAGTTATCTTGATCTATCCACTACCCTTCTCCTCATCCTTTCTTCTATCACTCCTATCTGATCTTGCTTCAAATTTTCTGTAACCCCTTGAGTCCTAGTGGCTTCTTGCCTTGCTTGGGGTGAAATGCTTAAAAAAAAAAAAAAAAAAAAAAAAAATTGTACTTCATTATTTGAAGAATAAAGTTTACAAGCAAAAAATGGAAATTATTTATGACTCAACCTAACATTTAGTTTCATCAGAAATTTTGAGAATGTAATTATTCCAGGTTATATTTTTCAAATTCTATGTTATTGTGTGTTTTTATTAAGTAAACATCATACATACATTGCATTAGTGTTATGCCTGTATCAAGTTTTAAATTCTATTTTTGTCTTTGTTTTTATTGGATGTGCAGAATTTCATGTGTACATCTTATTGTATCTCAGTGTATGTTTATTTTTTGAAATGTTAGCTTAGTGTAGCATGAAAAAATGTGGATAACAAATGTAAGAAGTAAATTGTGACATGTTAGCAAATGTATGAATTTTTCATTTCAAAAATATATTTAACATTTTGCTATGTCAAATATGAATTGGGATCAAATATGGATCAGAATCCAGCAAAAAGTTAACATATAGAACAAATAGCAAACGTTTATCTATTTAACATGTTTCACTTTTATCAAAGTTTCATCAGAGAATGAGACATGGTGAAAAAGAAGAAAGAAAATCTGGTATTCTTATTTTTGTGTTGTTTGATTTTCATTGATTGATCAGGCTTCATATACATATGTCAAATATCTTCCATTCTACATATTGGCTGGAAGTTTGTTGAAAGAGATAGTTCTTTTATGAAATTTTGGTGCTAGTTAGATAATATTCTGTAGAGCATGAAGATGTGCTGAAAATTACTATTAAAAAGGAAAAAGGTGGTATAAATTGTCTTAAGCAGCCAGCTTTTGAATCAACTCTTATCAAAAAGGATAGTTGATAAATTTAAAAGATCACAAAATAAAAATGTGGTAAAATTTTATAAAACTAATCCTGTCATCTTACAAAAAACAAAAAAAAAACAAAAAAACAAAAGAGACAGATAGCATGCCAACTTAAGTAAAACTCAAAAGTTTCAGGGAATAGAGAAAAATCTTTTGGCTTTTAAAAAAAATAAAGAGATTCAAGAATTTTCATACAGCTGTGTAAAACTTAGAATTTGGAAATAGTCATTCGAAAAAAATGTTGTCACAAACCAGATTATCAGTGAAATGTTAGCCAGTAACTGAATCGGAAATCTTCTGGGTATGCGTCAGTGTTGTAATTTGGCATGGTTGACCATTCCTAATCTAAAATGAGACATGTTCCTTCATTCTACACTACAATCTCTCTGAGCTGAGTCCAATGTAATCAGATTCACACTGGCATGTAAATGAATAAACAACCAAACTTTTATGAGAGAAAGGAACACTGCCTTTGTTCATGGAAGAAGAAATCCATCCTATTATTATGAATGAGATGAAAATTCACTACAAGAAAGCAATAAGATAATTTGTTGAGAAAACCAAAGGCTGACATTCAGGGTCAGTGTATACTACCCTCTGAACACCCCACCACAATTGTGGGAGAGAATCCTTATTGGGAAATCCTGGCAGTGCTTTGTGGCCCTAGATATCTTATCGACATTTGCTTTTTTCTATTTACATTTGTATATGTTGCAATTTAAAACTAAGAAAACAAAATATTAAAGGATGAAAAAATTTTGCGGATTTTGACATCATTCCATGAATTTGTTTGTTTATGACAAATCTTGAAAAAACACTATAAAATTCACTATTTTTTTTTATTCATAATGTTGAATGTGTAAAAATTCCACATTTTAACAAGAATAATCTCAAGTTGATGTTAAAAATTGCTGCAATACATTTTTGTTCTATTTAAGATGGAATAATCAATTATGACATATCTCTGAATTATATTTAGATACATTGTATTTATTTTCAATTTTTCTACTTGAATTGTTCACCTATATTGCATATGAACCATTATTGTACATAATTAGGTTACAACAAAATTTGTATTTTATATGAATATTACTTTATAAAAACTGAGATCTAGTAGAGTTGGGGCCTATATCATAGATTGGAGGTGCACGAGACCCTTGCACTGACCCAGATGACATTAGCTAATGAAGATAAATTTATTTTAATAATTTAAGAATCTAACATAAACTCAAAGGAAATTATATCCTATGATGTATATGATCATCAGTGATTTCAAAATGGAAGAAAATATCAATATAACTTTAATGTTGTATGCAATGATTGCCACTTCTTTATAGAAGACAACCATCTCTTCTTACTTTTAAAATGAAGATTTGTTTGATCAGTAATTATAAAAGGGTCTTAAAATGATAAAATAAAAAAAAATCACTCCCATCTGCAAACAATTTATAAAAGCCTATCCTTTATTTTTAAGTGGTAAAACACTTACAGTTAAAAGAATATTAAAAAGAAGGAAAGCTAATAAAATGATAAAAAGAATAACACCCCGTTAAGAAAGATTTAAAACAAAATACTGCCAGTTCACATTTATGATTGTGACTGCAACTTAAAGTACATTGCCACGTTCATGTGCACGCAAGTGGCTCTTTAACCCTGCTGCACTCTTACAAGCTTTCTTACATAAATAACAAATGAATGGGGTAATGAGAGTTTTGAAGGTTATTTTGTCTTGATGAAATCTATCAGTGTGCCTCTTTAGATCTGCTGATGATTTCAAGATATTTTCGCAAAACTGACACAGGGTGCCATTTGGTTCAGGAGGAATGCATTCAGGCTGAGAAACATGATCTATATTATTACGGCAATGGTACCTCATGTGACTGGTGAAACCAGATTTGGACAAGCAAATTCTGCTGCAGAAATTACTTTTATGCTGGGAGTCTTGAGGCAACAGATTAACATCACTTTTCCTTAAATCCCATTTCACTTTTGCATGCTCAATCCTTTTCTCTTCAAAACTGTTACAACCATCATAAACAGGTTTCTACCAGTTAAACCTGTCACCTGACACCTTCTTCCAATTGTAGGTACTTATACCAAGATTTTTAAGCTTGTTTTTAATGACATCTTTGAAGCGCTTTTTTGGTTTGTGTGGAGGACATTTGCAGCTTGTCAGTTCACTATAGAACAATTGTTTTGGGAGGCGATCATCCTCCATCCTTATGATGCGACCAGCACAGCACAGTACATGTTAGTATATTTTCAATACTAAACATTTTTAAAATTGCTGTG